TTGCTCTGCCTGAAACTTTTGTTACTTGAAAATGTGCCTATTATGCTGCATTAACAAAAGCTATTTTTTTCCCTGCTTACATAACAGGTGCTAATTAATAATCATTTTTATTAAAGTCTGAATAATATATTAATATTCTTCAAAAAGTAAAAATAATATATAAGAAGAATGTACTGTAAAGTCTCAGTCTCACCCTGCTTCCCATCCGTCTAGGGCTTACCACACTCATTAGCTTTTCTTTCCAGAGTTTTTTTATGCAAATTAAGATAGACTGTTATTTTCCTAGGCCATCACTGGTAAGGGAAGTTGGGGCTGAGCTGAGGGGGACTGTTGGGTGCGAGGTCAGAGGATCTGATCTGTCCATGTTTCACTGGTTTTCTCAAAATGACCACTGTTGTTAGAAGACACAAAATTGTACATCGGGACTTGAAACATGAATCAGATTCCAAAACCCAGGCTCCATTCTGGCTAGAGCTCTGAGGTACCCCCTAGGCTGTGTCAAGGGGAAGGCTCAGCCCCTCCATAAGAAGAGAAAACCTGATCCCCCATTTCCTAAGGGCTGGCTAGGTAGAACAGGCTGTATTTTAACAGCAAGGTGGAGCCATACCTAAGGCTCCTCCTTTTCTGGGCTTTGTTTTAATGCAAATTGTGTGTGTGTGGTGTAAGCAGACAGTACAGAGAGTTCCCATTGCCTGCTCTTTCCCCTGCTCACGGTTTCCTATTATTATCTTGCATTAATGTGATACATTTGCTAATTCTATGAGTTTTGATGAATGGATAATGACATAACCACCATTACAACATACAGAATAGTTTCATTACCCTAAAAACCCATGCTCCTCCAACCATTCATCCCTTTATCCCTCCTGCCAAACCCCAGGCAACTACTCATCTTTTCACTTACTCTGTGTGGTTGTGACTTTTCCAGAACATCATATAGTTGGAATCATACAGTATGTTGTTTTTCAGATGGCTTCTTTCATTAAGCAATATGCATTTAAGATCTAGCCATACCTTTTTGTGGCTTGATAGCTCATTACTTTTTATTACTGAATTTGGGTAAATATGCTAGAGTGTATGGTAAGGCTATGTGTAGCTTCATGAGAAACAGCCAAACTGTCCCCCAAGGTGACTGCGCCATTCTATACTCCCACCAGCCGAGAATGAAGAGTTCCTACGGTTACATATTCTCATCGATATTTGGTATTGTCTATTTTTTTGGATTTTGCCATTCTAATAGATGTTGACTGGTATCTTATTGTTTTAATTTGCAATTCCTCAAAGGCATATGATGTGCTTTTTTGTGCTTATTTACCACCTGTATATTGACTTTGGTGAGGTATCTGTTCGGTTCTTTTGCCCAATTTTTAGTTGGGCTGTTTGCTTTCTTGAGTTTAAAGAGTTTTGTTTTGTTTTTGGGTTTTTTTGTATGTTTTAGATATCAGCCCTTTGTCAGAAGTGTTTTGCAAGTATTTTTTCCTCGTCTGTGGCTAATCTTTTCATTCTCACAACAATGTTCTCTGCAGAGCAGAAATTTTTAAATTAAGTCCAACGTAACCAATTTTTTCTTTCATGGATTATGCTTTTGGTGTTGTATGCAAATATTCACCACCAAACTCAAGGTCACTTAGGTTTTCTCCAGTTATCTTATGAGTTTTATAGTTTTGTGTTTTACATTTAGGTCTATGATCCATTTTTAGTTAACCTTTTTGTGAGAGGTGTAAGCCCTGTATGTCTAGATTCATTTTTTTGCATGTGGATGTCCAGCTGTTCCAGCACCATTTGTTGAAAATAATATCCTTTCTCCACTGAACTGCTTTTGCTCCATTGTCAAAGATCAGTTGACTATATTTGTGCGAATATATTTCTGGGCTCTCTATTCTGTTCCACTGATCTGTTTGTCTATTGTCTTGCTAATATTACACTGTCTTACTTATTATAACTTAATACTAAGTCTTGAAGTTGGTAGTGTAAGTCCTCTGACTTTTTCTACAGTATTGTGTTGGCTTTTCTAGGTCTTTTGTCTTTCTATATAAACTTTAGATGACTTCACCAATATCTAAAAAAAACTTTCTGGAATTTTGATTGGGATTATGTTGAATCTATAGATCAATTTGGAAAGAGCTAACATGTTAACAATATTGAATCTTCCTGCCCAGGGGTTTTACATTTTGTTTTGTGTTTTACATTTAGATGTCTTCATTTATTTAGATCTTTGATACATCAGTTTTATAGTCTTCCTCATATAGATCTTGTATATATTTTGTTAGATTTATTTTTAAGTACCTCATTTTGGGGGTGCCAATATAAATGGTATTATTTTAAGTTCAGTTGTTCTGTGCTGATATACAGGAAAGCAGTTGATGTTTATGTATTAATTTAGGATCCTGTGACCTTACTATAATAATCTATATGAGTTCAAGTTTTGTCAATTCTTTGGGATCTTCTACATAGATAGTCATACCATCTGTGAATAAAGACAGCTGTATTTCATCCTTCCCAATCTGTATACCTTTTGTTTTCATTTCTTGTCTTGCATTAACTAGGTTTTGAAGGATAATGTTGAACTGGAATGGAAAGAGGCAACATCCTTGTCTTGTTCCCACTCTTAAGAAGAAAAGCATCTAATTTCTCATGATGATGATAGCTATAGGGTTTTTGTAGATTATTCTTTATCCAGTTAAGAAAGTTCCTATTTATTCTTAGTTTGCTGTGAATTTATAAACAGGAGTTGGATTTTGTCAGATGCTTTTTCTGCATCTACTTATATGATCATACAATTCTTCTTCTTGAGCCTATTGTTGTGATGGAGTAAACCCCAACCATTGGTTGTGGTGTATAATTCTTTTTATACATTATTGGATTCAATTTACTGTATTTTGTTGAGGATTTGTGCATCTATGTTCATCAGAGGTATTAGTCTGTAAGGCTACCTTTTAAAAATGTAAATAGGCTAAGAAATGTCTGAGCTATTCAGTCAGTTACATGAAAATGGTAATTAGATTAATCAGATTATTGTTTTTCTGAAACCTAAAACACAACTACAATGAGGCTAAGAATACTGATCAGAGGGAGAACATGAAACATTTAGGAATCAAGGCAGGCATTAGCCACGTATGGCAGCTCAAAAGCATGAAAAACTGTAGCTTATATACTTTCCTTAGTTTTGAAGTTGCTAATCCCAGGAGGGAGAAGGAAAGAATCAGTTCAGGAAGAAGAGGGACAGGCTATCTGAATGCCCGAAAGAAATGATTTCCTTCAGATATGCAGCCTTATCTGAATTTTAACTTAAGAATAATGTGGTCTGAGCCCAAGTTCCACAACTTACGCTCAGGCTTCTTAGTGATGGATGGTAACACTGTGGCATAAAACTTGTCTCTAACCAGGCTACCTCTTTCACCTTACTTATTAATTTGCTAGTTTCTAATACCCAGAGAAATTTTTTAATGACAGAATTTCAACTTTATAATACCACCTTAAAAAATTTTACCAACTCTAAATACTAATTACACTATTATTTATGTAATAAATTTTATAATTTATTACAATTATTTTAAAAATAAAATTTTTTACTCTATCATTAATAGAAACTAGCATCCCAAACTTAGATACTACACATTAATATACATTAATACATAATTCTAAAAATTAAAAATGTTCGCCCTTCCATCACCTAAAGTCATCTGTTGTGTAACCAGAGGTAAGTAAATGTGTCCCATACTTCAAAAAATATTCAACAAAGCCACCCTTCTTCATTTTAAAAGCAATGAAACAGGACCAGAAAGTAAGGTGAGCTATTCAAGGTCATGGAGCTGGTCAGTAGCTGGAGCTAGAGACAACCCTCTTTCTCCTTCTTCCACAAATGAAAACCAACTCTTCATGCACCTACACTACTGTTCTTTCCAATACACTGAGTTTTTTTTTTAAAAAGGCAAAAGGGTATCTTATATATTAGCTTTTTCAATCAGCAGTCTCCAAACTGCCTTTCTTTTTGACAGGTTGTCTAACTGGCTCAAAATTGAACTACTTTTGGAACAAAGCTCACCTGGCCAGGGAACAAGGGCAGAAATACCACAAGACAGCAGCCAGCTGTCCTGTGCCTGAAAGGGAAGAGGGCTTTACCTGTTGGCCCAGGATGTTTGGAAGAGGAATTGGGAAGTCATGAGAAACAACCTTCAATCTCTCAAGGGACAGCTCAGCTGCCTGAAACCTATGATGTTCCTCTGCTGCTGGCTTCATACAGCTGAGCTGTACTCTCTGAGTGTTCCCCAAACTAACAGAGTTTTAAACAGAATGTAAGGTGTGCTAAATGGGTTTTTAAAAATGGTATGCTGAGCTTAATGCTAACCAAAAAAAGAGAACCAATTTACAATGTGGAAGTAAAAAAATTTTTGGAGAAAGAGAAAAAGTTAGGATATTCTTACAGCTGCAGTCTCTGGAAGAAATTCCAGTAGAAAACAATATCTAAAGAAATCAGTGGTTTCACAAGTGGCTACCAACAGAAGGAAAAAGAGCAGACAACTACATAGGAATACACAGAGGTCAGAGAAAAGCTGGTGCATGAATGCCCTCTTCTTTCTTCCACTCCCCTCTGTCCACTCAGATCCTTCCAGGTCCTGCTACCCCCACCCCCCAAGAGCCTCTTCTTCCTATCCTGACTCACACTGACCTGTCCTCTCCCAAACTCTGTGCACTTGGCAATTACGCGTGGATTTCTTCACTTCGTCAGCTCAACTCTAGGCTCTGAGACTGCAGAGCCCATGTCATAAAAATTTTGGTGTTCCCAGAGCACTGAGACACAGTACCTTCTGCAGAGTAGATAGTAAATAAGTACATGCTAATTGAGTCAAAGAAGCCAACTAGAAATCAGTGTTTTTAGAGGAAGGGGAGACTAGGGCAGGTATAAAGAATACAGAATCTGAGCATGCATTGTAAGTTGTACTAACACCCAAATCAATTCAAATCAATTGTGTAATGAGCAAAATCAATAGGCACAGTACCTGCAGGAGACTTTCTATGGCATGAAAACCTCGAATTAAATTCAGAGCTCCACATAAAAGACTAAGGATAAATGCCACAATGCCTGATAGAGTTGCTGGTTCCAATCGCTGGTGAGCTGGAAAATAAAAGAAATGGTTAGAAATGAACACCAATACCTCATGTCAATATCTAAACTTACATAAAATGAAATTCACTGCTCAATTTAGATGGGTCAAATATAGGTTGATCTTCATAAAATTATTTAGTATCTTAGTAATTAAATATTTTTTAAATGCAAAATGTCTTATATGACAGCTCATTCCCCTGAATTCATGTTCCATTAACTGTTTTTTCTCTACATTTTTAACAAAGGCATCTAGCATGCATTTGGGGGTACTAAGGAGTGCTGACACCTGGCAGTAAATCATGTAGAAAAACTTTACTGCCTAAATATATCTACCATTTGCAAGTAACTGCAAATATTTGCTAAGGTGACTTTGCTTGACTATTCACTGCATAATTCCTACTTTTATGAAAGTGATGAGAAAACATTTTTAAGGACAAATATAGCTTACTTTTTAAGCAAAGGTTTCCCTTATTTGGGTTCCAGGGCTATAAATACCATGAGATATACATGAAAGCTCATTTATAATCACCAATCTGAGCTCCACAATAGAATGGATTCTTTTAGCTATGAAGTTCCTGGTCTCTGAAGACTGCTTAAAGGTACAAAGAATAAAATACTAGTTAAAGAAGTGACCAGTGTATCTTCACATTCCCTCATCTGTCAGGGCTTCAGCAGCATGAGACATTTAGTTATACAATAGCTTCCCTTCATCATCATCTTGTGCTTAATAGAATTAACAATACAGTCTAAGTGAAAACAGAAAACTAAGTACATAATCATCTAGACCTCAAAAGGGAGACAGAGAGAAAGAGAGGACCACAAAACTACATTTAGATCATTTTATTTAAATCACTGAAGTGTAAAAACCCTAACAATGAAGTTAATGAGGTGGAACATTAATATAAGGGCAGGCCTAAATTTTTGCAACTTATATCCAGCCACGACAGCAAAAAAGCTTCCCTAAACAGTTCGTAAAAACACAAAACCCCACATATCACAAACACAATTTATTCTTCAAGCTCAGCAGGAAATGCTAATATGGTATAGCATTTTCTTAAATTTTTTCTTCTGTGTCCAAGCTGATGGCTTGGTTTCTCAATCAATTTCCTTGAGATTTCGATATGAAAAAAAAATTAAATGTCTTTATACAGTACTGTTTTTCTATCAGTAGAGAAAAAACTCAAAATTTAAAAATCTTATCCAACTGGCCTACCAATTAGTCACATTTTTCATTTCCTCCTTCATCCTTCCCCACACCTCTTAGTAGTAAGGAAGAACTGGCCTCTAATAAAAAAATAAATCCCTTATATGGGTCTCAAGCTTAAAACCACTTGACAACTGAATAGGTTATATAAATCGTACTTCTAAAGTATACAAAATAAGTTTACCTTACAAAAAACAAAATCCAAATAATGTTCCTTATTAGAACTAAAAAAAAAATCTTAGCTTTTTACAATTTGAAGTATGGCCATTCATGAATGGGAAAATACTACCATTTTAATATGTAACATCTATTTAAGAAATAAATACCTATATAAATTTAAGTTTTCAATATTTGCCTCTTGGCCTTGAAGCATTCTATTTATAAGGATAGTATATCACTTATAAATTATTTCAAAATGACCAGAAATATTTTAAAAGGTCTGAAAGCAAAACAAGCCTCCTTTAACAAGGACAAGGCATGCACTACACTGAGGGCCCTGCTGGCGCTGGGCAAAACCACCGTGGGAAAGAAATCCTCAAGTGGAGATTCCCCAGCTCCTTCCCCCAGGGCCTGCGGGAATGGGTACCTGGAGGAAACTCCATCTGCACCAGTATGAGGATGACACTCCTTAGGTACAACTTCTCACTTTCACAAACCCAATGACATATTTAATGACATTTTAATGTATTATGTTATATATGGTATTTTTTAAATGTCAGTAAACCAATTTTATATCCATTGGTATCCATAAATGCTTACTTACTTCACGTGTAATCTGGTACCATGATAGGCACTATTAGGTAAAGAATCAATTTGGAACAATAATAAGTGAGAGACAATGTAAAAAAAGAAAAGTAATTTTACCAAATCCAAAGCAGTGTCAGCTGGCTAATTTTTCTTTTGTTTTATTTTTGTTATTATTGTCTTCTGCTACAGTGTCTTTTCTTTAATTAGTCTCCTTGAGCCCCAAAATGGCATTTTTATGGCAAAATTAAAATTTTTTTATGTAAAAATGATTAACGGAGAGTTTACAAAAGTTCTTATGGAAGTAAGAGGAAATCCCTTGGAACTAAAGGGCTGTTGGTTATAGGAAGTTAAATATATTTATTCAGCAAATACTTTTTGGCATGACTTTGTATAAGATGCTATACTCTAGAATATACAAAAAATGAATAACACAATCTGCCCTCAGAGGGAAATGGGCAGACTGATAGCATATGAAAGTAATAAGCATTCTAAATTAAAAGAGTTAAGGAATGTGAAGAGGAAAGATAACTAGGGGAAAGGTGGTGACATAGGAGTGGTAAGAGAAAAAAGGAATATCTCTACAGATGGTTAAAATCTAGACAAGTGCAAATAGAAAGAACTGCTTTCCATGCAGAGAAAAGAATATGAGCATGGAATGGAAGGAGAAGCAGCACTGAATAGTATAAACACACCTACAACACTGTTACCTCCACTAATCCTACAACAGTAGCTCATCTCAATGTGCCAGGCAATGTGTCAGGTGCCAAGTGCTTTGTATACATGATCTCATTTCATCTGTCCAGGAACCCCTGCAGCTGGCACTATAATTATCTGTTTTCTTCAAACAGGAAACCAAGGTTAAGGGGAATTAAAGTAATTTGCCCAGAGTTAAGTAGATGAGATTTAAATCCTGGTAGCCTGACTCTAGAACTCATGCTCTTAACCACTTTGATATTGGGCATTTGGTTTTGTTTGGCTCAAAAGGATGTTTATAAAAAGTAGAAAGAAATAAGATCAGAAAGCAAATTAATGGTCTGAAATACAAGACTAAAAATTATGAGCAAATACTGAAGAATAAGAGACTGATGTGATTAAGCTATGCTTAAAGAATATTAATCTTTTAAAGGGTTATAAAGAGATTAAAAGGAGAGAAATATTTTCTCACTCCCTCTTCATTGGGTACACACTGTCCCATTTGTCCTTCAAAATGGGGTACTTTCTGAGATAGGAATGACTAACTTCTCTCTGAATTTTCTTTTCTGTTTGTTGAGGTTAAAAAGTTTGCTGCAGGTTAGACAAGTGGTAAGTGCCATCTTCACAGTCAGCACTGGACTCTGCCTGCAAAGCCCACGCGCCTGCTACAATTCTACACCAGGGAGCTCAGGAGTCACTGCAAAAGACGGACTGAAACGAGGGCCTGAATTATGAAAGTGACAGCAGAAATGCAGAAGAAGAAAGAGGTGAGAGAGACTACACCGGTTAAAACTATGAGACTTGACAACTAATTACATGTGAGAAACAAAAGGGAAAAAAGAATCAAAGAAAAATGCCAAGGTTTTAAGTGTGGATGATGGGAAAGGTAAAGGTGCTATCAGAACCAATGGAAGAAATTCAGGTTTGATCAAGAATGGGGACCCTTTAAATATATTAAACTTGAGGTGAATGTGAGGTAACAAGCACGTGAAGAACAGAAGAGTAAGTAGGAGAGCTGGAGAAACAGATGCCGTCTGCACCTGAAGTGCAGTCTGGGTGAGATGACCAAGGACAGAAGTGGGCCAAGGGCAAATCCACGGTATATAAACTACCTTTAGGGGGACGATGAACTCAGGAAAGACAGAACCAGAAGAGGCAAGAGCCACCGAAGCCTAGGCAGGAGTGGCCATCAAGAAGAAGAAAGGCTGACCATGCCTGTAGACAGGACAATCTGCACAGAAAAGGAAAAAACAAGAATATCAAATTTATTGACTGGTTGTTGGCCCCTTATATAAAACAGTTTCAGAGGAGCAGTTGAAGGCAAAATTCAGACTGCAAGACCTTAAATAACTGGTGATGTTAAGAGACAGAAGCAGTAAGTGAATACCACTGTAGTCAAAGGAGAAAAACACAGGATGACAGCTTAACAGATGGAATTGGCTTGAAAAATAATTATTTCTCCCCTGTAATGGGGTAGAAGAAGATTTGAATACATGTGTAGGTGGAATGAAAAAATTCAGTGAAGAAATAGAAGAGCCAAGATAAAGGTAACAGAGCGTGAGAACAGTCACTGTGAGGATTCAAAGATGGTACCTCAGACTCTAAACCTCAAACGCATCTCAATACCACAGTGCCTATGCTCTGAGCCAAAGACAAATCTCAGAAGGTACAGTCATTCAATGATGTCCCAAAGAGCTGGAGAAATGGGTTTTGGAACATAGGAGAGAAATTTCAGGTCAGTTCCATTTAAATGCACATAATTTATTACTAAATCATGACTGAATGAGACCAATTGTATGGTACAAAAACACACTTTGCTTTTCACCAGTCAGGTGCTTCGTTACCATCACCACCTGTCAAAAGCTGGTGTGTCCTTCAAGGCTCCAAGGCCTGAAAATGGTACTTCCTTTTTACTTCTTTTGGAGTATGCATCACATTCTACTTTATGTATTTTACTTATTGGCATGTATTTCCATTCCCAATCTTGAAAACAGATAGTGTGCTTACTATCTTCATAAAATGCTTCACAATATTTAGTATAATAGATAGGAGGGAAAAAAAAGCAGTAAGTATCTGTAAGATCATGGGGCGGCAGGTAGGGATGAGTGTGTGTGTGTGAAAGAGAGACATTGGGAAATCTATTTGACTTGTGGAATGTCAGCTGAATAGAATGGCATTTTCAGGCAATTGACAAATTATGTAGATAGAAAATAGTATTTTAGCTGATCAACCAAATATTTATCCTAAAAATGGAGGTCAAAGAAACTGAGAAAATTGTATTAAATTTAGGGTTCTGTGACTTTTTAAAAAAATAATTAACAAAAGGAATAATATTTAAAAGACTATAAAAACATTAAATATTGGT